CTTATTTTCCAAATAATAATCAGCATAGAGTTAAGATTGCTAATGGTTCTTATTCTTATGTTGCTGGAATTGGTTCGGTCAAAATAAGTCCTACCGTTACTCTTCAATCGGTTCTCCATGTTCCAAATTTAACTTGCAATTTGCTTTCCATAAGCAAACTTACAAGTGATCTGAAGTGTGTGGTCAAATTTACGCCATCTACTTGTGTTTTTCGGGACCCGTCTTCGGAGATGATGATTGGGAGTGCTAAGGAAGATTCAGGATTATATTTCTTTGAGAATAAGTGTTCTGTGAGTTGTCATGTTCATGCCGACACAAATTTCTCCTCTATGTCAAGAGAACAAAAAATAATGCTGCTGCACTCTAGATTAGGTCATCCAAGTTTTTTGTATTTGAAACATTTGTTTCCTCATTTATTTCAAAATAAAGATGAATTTCAATGTGAGATCTGTCAATTAGCGAAACATACACGCTCTTTTCTTTCATCCTTGCCTTACAAACCATCACACCCGTGTTAGCACTCCGGCCCTCAAGTTTGTGTATGCGAGAAGGAGTAAGAAGGAGCAGGGGCAGGAAGGGAAATTGGCTGCCATAGGATCAAGGCAAGAATAGGGGACGTTGTTAGAATACGGTTATGGGGTTATGGGGATGTGTGCAAGGATCAGATTTGGGGGATTAGGAAGTTAGTTAGAGTGTGTGAAATAAATAGCCTACGGGCAGAGAATGTAGGATGGAGAATTGAGAGTAGACTTGAGTCTGTGGAGGTTAGGAGGTGTCCTCGAATTCACCTCCCTCTTTAATTTCCAGCATTGTATTTTGTCTTTCCTGTAAGTTTTGACGATCTTTCAATCAAAGGAACCAGGCCTTATTGGTTATTTCTTCAGTTCCATGTTGTTTCCTTTTGTCCAACGAATACCTTTTGTCTAGAACAGAGGGAGTCCTAACAACCCGTTTGTGCTAATTCATAGTGATATTTGGGGACCTTCTCGTATTCTGAGTTTGACCAATAAAAGATGGTTTATTATGTTTATTGACGATCATACACGAGTTTGTTGGGTGTATTTGCTCAAAGATAAGGCCGAGACTGAACAAATTTTTCAAAATTTCCATTCCATGATCAAAACGCAATTTAATACCAATATAAAAATTCTGCGTACTGATAATGGAACGGAATACTTTAATTCTGTTCTTGGCGAATTTCTTACCAAAAATGGTATTTTACACCAAAGAACTTGTGTTAATACACCCAAACAAAATGGTGTTTCCGAACGTAAAAATCGACATCTTTTAGAGGTCGCTCGTTCTTTAATGTTCCAATCAAATGTTCCAAAGAAATTCTGGGGGGATGTAATTCTTACTGCTTGTTTCCTGATTAATCGTTTGCCAAGCAAAGTTCTAAATTTTCAAACTCCATTAGAATTGTTGTCTAAGTCCTATCCTGAATATTGTTATTTTTCTGAGTTGGATTTGAAAACCTTTGGATGTACGGCCTTTCTTCACAATAACATCCCTAATCGTAGCAAATTGGACCCTAGAGCCTCTAAATGTATTTTCTTAGGGTACTCGTCCACTCAAGAGGGCTACCGTTGTTATTCACCAGAAAAAAGGAAGTACCTTATTTCTAGAGACGTGACATTTTTTGAAAAATAGCCGTTTTTTAAGTCCACCTCAACTAATTTTTTTTTGAGTTTCCAAAGCCAACGCCCTCACCTTTGAATTGGGAATATTTATGGGACTTTTTCCCCTGCAGTTTCTCCACACGAATCTCTTTCAAATATTATGCCCGTTTCTAATTCCAAATCTCCAACAAGTTTGCCTCCATTATCTGCGGATCAAATCCCTCAAATCTCTCCTTCAAATTTAAATTCCCAAACTCAAAAATCTCCAGTAGATATTTCTCCACATTTAACTCCTCATATTACTCATGATATTTCTTCCAATTTGAATTCTTCAGTTCGAATTTTTCCTGTGAATATTCTCTCAAAATCAGCTGCATATTTCAAATTCTCACCCTCAAATCTCTCCTCCAGAATCTTCTCCAGCTATCACTTTGAATCCGCTTCCTGATGTTTCACGTTCCCTAATTATTTCTCCATCAAATTCTTGGTTAGAATCTATTCCCACTTCAACTCCTATTCCAGATCCTTCTCTACCCGAAATTACTGCACCAAATCCGCCAGTTCCACAAACTGTTTTGACTTTGAAAATTTTGGATGACTCTAATCTTCAAAACGCAAATTTGACAGGGGAGAACAAAGTGTGCCATTATTGCGTTATTCTCGAACGCGATGCAAAAATCGTCCAGGGCAGGAAACATCTCAGGAATATAATTCTCAGAAATATAATCAGGAAATCTCACCTAGTGAACCACACTTATCAGATTCGGATACAGGTACTGACATAAGTTTGGTTGACCTGGATGTTCCTGTTGCTTTGAGAAAAGGAACTAGGTCTTGCACGGCACACCCTGTGTCGAATTTTGTTCAGTATGGTCATCTGTCTACTTCTATTTAGACGCTTGTTGCAAACTTGGCAGACCAAAAGGTTCCAAAGACCATAGAGGAAGCCTGGCAACAAGACAAATGGAAACAAGTCATCATGGAAGAGATGAGGGCGTTGGAGAAGAACCAAACGTGGGAAGTGGTGCAGAAACCGAAGGAAAAGGTTCCGGTTGGATGTAGATGGGTTTTTACAGTAAAGCATAAAGCTGACGGCTCTGTGGAACGTTACAAGGCCAGACTTGTGGCTAAAGGCTATACACAGACATTTGGGATTGACTATCAAGAGACTTTCGCACCGGTGGCAAAAATTAATACAGTCAGAGTTCTTCTATCTCTAGCGGTTAATCTTAATTGGCCTTTGCAACAGTTAGACGTTAAAAATGCCTTTCTAAATGGCGATCTTATAGAAGAAGTTTATGGAATTGCCACCAGGGTTTGATGAAGGCAAGAAAGATGGAAAAGTTTGTCGGCTAAAGAAATCCTTGTATGGTTTAAAACAATCACCTAGGGCATGGTTCAACCGTTTCACCAAGGCTATTCGAAAAGAAGGGTATCAACAGGTGCATGGAGATCATACGTTGTTCTATAGACATAAGAATGAAAAAACAACTCTTCTTATTGTCTATGTGGATGACATTATTGTAACTGGAAACGATGAAGATGAGATTGCGCAGCTAAAAAGACAGCTAGCTCTGGAATTTGAGATGAAGGATTTTGGGAACTTAAGATATTTCCTAGGAATGGAGATTGCCAGGAGTAAGATCGGTATTTCTGTATCTCAGAGAAAATATGTTTTAGATCTTTTAAAGGAGACTGGGATGATGGGCTGCAAACCGATAGATACCCCAGTGGATCCGAATGTAAAACTAGATCTAAATTCCGATAGAAGTCCGGTAGACAAGGGGAGGTATCAACGCTTAGTTGGAAGGCTAATCTACCTGTCACACACTAGGCCGGATATTGCTTTTGCTGTTAGCCGAGTAAGTCAGTTCATGCATTCACCTAATGAAGACCACATGGAAGCTGTGTTTCGAATTCTTAGGTATTTGAAAGGAACACCTGGCAGAGGCTTGTTCTTTAAGAAGACTGAAGATCGTTCAATAGAAGTATTCACTGATGCGGACTGGGCAGGATCAATTAGTGATCGAAGATCAACATCCGGTTATTACACGTTCCTATGGGGCAATCTAGTAAACATGGAGAAGCAAGAAACAGGCGGTTGTAGCAAGAAGCAGCACAGAAGCAGAACTGAGATCTGTTGCTCATGGAGTATGTGAAGGAATCTGGCTCAAGTTACTTCTAGAAGAATTAAAGGTTGACCTGAAGACACCTTTGAGAATTTTATGTGATAACAAAGCAGCTATTAACATCTCGCACAATTCCGTTCATCATGACCGAACCAAGCATGTAGAGGTGGATAGGCATTTCATTAAAGAGAAGATTGAAGATGGAACAATCTGTATGACTTATGTGCCTACTTCAGAACAAACTGCAGATATTCTAACAAAGGGTGTTTATAAACCTGTCTTTGAAAAATTGATAGACGAGCTGGGAATGTTCAACTTGTACTCTCCAGCTTGAGGGGGAGTGTTAGAAAGGTGGTTAGAAGTTTTAGGAGACCAAGCGTGTTAGGCTAGTTGTTAGCATACAGGTAGCCTATTTTTTAGGAGATTAGTTAAGCTGTTTATTCTCTCCTATTGTTTCTACTTTGTATATAATGTAATTAGTAGTAGTCTTGTAAATTAATGTTTTCTAAGTAAATACAGAGGCAGCGTTTCTTTATTGTTTTCTTCCTCTCAATAGCTTTTAATTACATTAGCTGTGCATTTCTACATGGAGCAATTTCCTCTAGGTATTTTCCACAAAATTTAGAACATAAAAAATAATAAGAAAAAGTCCTCTAGGTGTAAGGATAATCTTTTAGTCCCATTAATAGGTTTGCACTTTCTGCATCGAGCTAATGTATTGTCAGCTGACCTCGATGTTGTTTGGTGAGCTCACTTTCTACATTGAGCAAATATTGGTAAGGTTTAAAATGAATTTAATGTTATTTTATTTCTTTTATAGTGTCCAATATGGAATGAAATTTCCCATATGAATTAAATGATCAGAGTTTCCAGTCTACTTTCATTCTAAATGCACGGCTTATAATTTTTCCAAGTGCATTAGTAGGCATAAACAAACCTTAAATCATTTTATGCTCATTATATCTTAGTTTCAAATGCACAGAATGTAATCGCAAAAATTATTAGTATTTCTATCCACCTGTATGGGTGCTTGTTCATCAAATTTTATTCTTTCTTGATAGCTTGTTGAGCGAGATATATTATATATTTGATAAAAGCGGAAGCTCTTAAAAGAAGAAAAACATTAATTATGATGCTTCATTGTGAAAATATTCTCTATCTTAAACTGTGCACGTTATTATGTTTGCTGACATCAAACAAATGTGTTTAAATTATGGGAATTTGATACAAATCGAAGCTACTTATTCTTCAGGTTGGGATGGCTGCAAATTTGAGAGATTTTGTGCTTGGAAAGAGGTAATGCAGTAGTCTCTGAGAAATAAAGTATGATGCAGTTGAATCATACAGCTCAATATCATAAGCTGCACAACTCTCCAATGTGTTAATGCAGATGTATGTTTACTAGCACATGAATGTGAAAATAAAGTATTATTTTTCATACCATCTGCAATGTCATACAACACTCCTGTTGATATGCCGTTGGTGTAGATTAGTATCTTTCTTTATAGTTAGTTATTATTCTATTTGGAAAGAGCAAACAAGTCATTTCTATAATTTTTGTCGGCCATATAAAAGGAGCGGCTGTGATTTGCAACTCACTGGCATAGAACCATGAACTGGGATATAATATATGTATCTTCTAATATCATTTACACCTTATGATTTATTGAACTTACACCTTACCAATACCATGTTTTTTTTTAAAAAAAAAAAAAAAGTGAAAACAGTTTGTCTTGACTCTTGGCATTCCAATGCTTGCCTTAGGTAAAAGGATCTGAAGTATTAACTTACGATGGATCACCTGTTGCTTATGCTTCATGCCCCACAGAAACCGTACGGACTGAGTTCAACTTTTGGTGTATACGTTCTATTTTTTCCCGCTTTTTGCTTGATCATCAGCATTTGTACTTCAATTCTGTGTTTCAGTCTGAGTGCAGAAGGAAGAATCCTTATGAATTTTGAATAACAATATGTTTAGTGAATCTGTGATAATACATGGCAATCCATGGGTTCGGTGGATCATGCATAAGGAGTGCAGTTGAGAAAAACTGAGGGTTCATCTTTGTTTCTGGTCATTTTCTAAATATTGTTGATATTGTATCAGATGCTTCTGCAAGATATTGCAAAATTTCATTCTTACAGCTCAAAGGGAATTATGTCGATGCAACTTTTTTTCTTTCTTTTTTTTTCCTCATTCTCTTGCTGTGAGCAGATTAGGACACATTAACAACATTCTCTTTATGTACTCTATGTTAAAACCAATTAAGAGTAAAAATAAATAAATAAAGGAAAGATATTAGCAGAAAGAATTATCTGGCTGAGAACAAAACTTAGTACCAATGGATACAAGAGAGATGGAATCTTAATGACTTAAGGCTAGAGAGAATGTTAATTCTACTATTCTAGATGAAACTTTTCTATTAACGCCTGGTTTTGAGTTTCCTTTGGAATTTTTCTTGTTTATTACTAGTTTCAGTCATTTCTCTGGATAAGGTAAATAGAAGAATGCTTAAGTTGTTGATATTGATAGTTTAAATTTGGACTCTGATTATATTTTAATGTTGCTAATGCTTGTGATTGACAATTACTTTTTTCCAGATTAATTACGTTTCTGCACATGATAACGAGACTCTGTTTGACATTATCAGCCTTAAGGTATGATGATTATATCCAACACTGCTTTAGTTCTTAAGGATGCTGAGGAATGGTTCCCCTTAAATGGGCCTTAGTTTCCTTTGCTTTGTTTGTTCTCCTTGTGTTTTGTTCTGGCTTTTTGTGTCTGCGTTTGCCTGCTTCCTAGAGCAGCTGTTTTGTGCGTTTTGTCTCAGTGCTTGTTCCTGTAGTGCCTGTTAGTGTTCCGCTTTTGTTGTTCCCCTTGTTTTGCCCTTTGTGGCTTTAATGAGATTCTCATTTATTAAAAAAAAACAAAAATAAAAAAATCCAACACTTCTTTTACATCGGGTGTGAGCCTCAAGACTTCTCTTTTAACTCAGTTCTTTACTTGTAGACTCCAATGGAAATTTCTGTCGATGAAAGATGCAGGATTAATCATTTGGCGACAAGTATAATAGCACTGTCACAGGTATTAAACTTCCTATAAATGTCTAAAATGATATTTTTTTTTGGCAGCTCTCCATTTTTCTCACACATTGGTCATCAGTAAAGTAAATGTCGTTCATTATCTACTGTTAGAGAAATGAAAGTACATGCTGTATTAATTCTTTTCCAGGGGATACCATTTTTCCACTCTGGAGATGAGATGCTCCGCTCAAAATCACTTGATCGGGATTCATACAACTCGGGTGACTGGTTTAACAGGTCGTCAACTATTCTGATTATCAGTTACTGTCTGAAATGTGATTCTTGTAATTGGGATTTCAGATGACTATGAAATTTGAATAAATATTCCATGATAAGTGCCACAGGGAGTAACGTGATTTTTTTTTCCTGGTCAAAACTGAACATCCTTCTTTTGTCTCATTTTATCAAGGAATTGGTGCCACCTGAACACACTCCACATAGGATGAATCTAAGGGCTCGTTTGTTTTATATACTCAAACTTAAATTATTGATTCTGTTACAGTATTTTTCTCTCAAAAAAAAAAAAAGAATTTCAAACGTCAAAATTAAAAATTATCGTTTGAGTATACCTTTCAAATTGGCCCTAAATTTTATTCTTGTCTCTGTATCCAGACTTGACTTTACATACAATTCAAACAATTGGGGTGTTGGCCTTCCTCCAAGGGCAAAGAATGAGACTAACTGGCCGCTGTAAGCCCTGATACATTTCATACATCTATCTTTTCGTTTCTGCAGTGTCTTAGCCGTGTAATAATTTAGGACCCCATTATTTAAACTTATTAGTTACTTTCCTTTTATATATTTTATTATTAGTATTATGCAGCAAATCAGCTGATTATTGTTGACCTTTTGAAGAACTCATATGTTGTCTGTTGTCAGAATTAAACCTAGATTGGCAGAGTCATCATTCAAGCCTCAGAGAAATCACATACTTGCTGCAGTCGAGAATTTCTCAAACTTGTTACGTATTAGGTACTCTTCACCGCTTTTCCGTTTGAAGACGGCAAATGCAATCCAGGTGAGAACTCCAATAAAGCCATATTGCTTAAGGTGAAAAGGTTTGGTAATGATAGTAGATTAGCTGAAAAATAATAATAAGAATAAGCCATTACGCTAGAATATATTAGTGACATATGAAACCAAACACATTTTTTTATCATTTATGGACTACAGCAGTCTTTAGACTACTTTTACACTGATCTTTTGCACATTCTTTTAAGCCTGATTCCAACTCCGTTTTTGATATCATCTCCCTTGGACACCCTCCAAAAAACAAAAAGAAACACGCACACACGCTAACACTATTTTATTCTTTTTTACATTCTGTTCTTATTCCTTAAAAGATACTCTGGTATAATTACGTGATTTATCTTATGTTGTTAGGAGCGAGTACGTTTCCACAATACAGGTTCTTCATCAATCCCCGGAGTCATAGTAATGAGCATTGAAGATGGTCACGAAGGTCTCCCAGGGTTGTCCCAACTGGATCCAATGTGGGTCAAAATTTAAATCCCTGCCCTTTCTTTTGATGTTGATTCTAGGACTAGTAATAATCAAATTATCCTTTGTCTGCCACAGCTATTCATACATTGCGGTTATCATCAATGCATGTCCAACTGTGGTTTCATTCTCTAGTCCCACACTAAGGGCTAGAACTCTTCAAATACATCCTGTACAGGTAAATCACATGTTTCTGCAATAAAATTTTGATAATGATCTAGAAATTTGTCTCTGGGGTCAGAAATATTTGAATATCATTATGTTTGGTTTGTATACTTTTAGTTTCCATGTCAAGGTTAGTAGTTTGATCAACACTATAGTTCTTTAGAAGAAATTTATGGTAAGGTTATATCCTACATTCTAAGTGGCATTGTGGAATTGGAAAAGCAAACCTGAGCAAATACCGATTACAGGTGGTTAAGACAGTTTCTGTTTTAATCATGCTTCTATCTCTTTGCTTACCTTAATAATCATGCTCGGGGCATTATAATATTGAGCATTTTACATTATCAACCCATAAAAACAATTTCTTGGGCATTTATTTAAGTCATATCTCTTCAAGTTTCTGTTTAATCGTTTCCTTTAGCGTGTTTTTTTTCCCTGTTTTTTGCAAATTCATAATGGTTTTTTTAAATGAAAATATCGTGCAGTTGGCATCTGCTGATCAAGTAGTCAAGAGCTCTACTTATGAAGCGTCCACAGGACGCTTCACTATTCCTCCACGGACAACATGTGTGTTTATTGAGCCTCGGAAAACTTGACGACTATTTGATCTCAGACAGGTTTTATTTTTTTATATGTTTGATGATAAGTGCCGCAATTTAGCATTGACATCGCAAGTTTTCCACGAATTTCGGTTCTCAGTCTTCTTGGAGGAGGCCATTGTAGCTTCAACAGCAACGGCTTTTATGAAACATGTGTTTCTTTCTTCCTTAGTTCTGTTCTTTAAGAAGTGAATAAGTCGGCCCAACAGTTTTTCCTCTACTCTTGCAGTTGTCCTCGAAAATAAAGCTGGAATAAAAGGTTGATAGATGAATGAGACCATAAGTGCAACCTTTAGGCTTTACGCTAGCCTTATTTATTGGATTGTTGTTGAAAGCAAATCATGTTTTTTTTTTTCCTTCTTTTTTGTTGGCATTCTAGTTATTCCTTAATTAGGAAAATCAATACAGCGAAGTGGATGTTTTGCCAAGGGCTGGCAATTCGTGTTCGCGGGCCGTGTTCGGGCCGACACGATTACGGCACGACACGATTACAGTGAGTACGAACACGACACGATTAATAAACGTGTCAGAAACCCAAACACGAACACGAACCGTTAATAACACGATTAACACGACACGACATGCGAACACGATTACTAAACGTGTCGTGACGGGTCAACACGAATAAAACATGTTTATGACCCGTCAAAATAATACTGTTCAAGAAATTTAAAAACAGCACAATTGGTAGGGAAAAAAACGTTAAAATTGAAAATAATGTTTATGAAAATATATTTAAATGTAAGTTCCATTATCATCACCTTCTTTTACATCTTCCAAGTGAGACCAATACAAAATGTATGCAAGTAACACAAATTTTAACCCCAACTACAAGAATTCAATTGCATTACTACTTGCACAAACTGTTCTATTATCATCACCTTCTTTTACATCTCCCAAGTGAGACCAATACAAAATGTATGCAAGTAACACAAATCTTAACCCTAACTACAAGAAGTCAATTGCATTACTACTTCCACAAAATGTTCCATAGACAAAACCATTATAACCGCTTAAATAGAGACATTTTCCCATCATCCATTCACAGAAGAAAACTACAAATCAGTCAATAACAACCAAAATCAGAATTTCTCAAAAAGAAAATGACTTTCTAGGCGACCAAACACAAGGTAAAAAAAAAAGCGCATACCTTGAGCAATCCCAAGAGCCAAGACCTTGGAGACCTCCTCGCTGATCAACCTCTTCTTCCAGTTGCTTTAACCTATTCATGGAAAAAGAAAACATTTTATTGATGAAATGAAATTTATAGCTTAGGCATGCCACAAGGAAATTCTTGTTACCTTCCATTGCATTTGAGGTGTTGAGGTTGTGAGAATTTTGAGATGAACCAGTAGTGGGCTCATTGATATCCAAACTAAAAACATCTTCAGTATCATCCATAGCTTGACGAATCGATTTGTTATTTTCTACACAAAATAAATAACTTATATGGTTAAGACTTAAGATAACATAAGCTAAGACAATAAATAAATAAAAAAAAAAACAAATATACCTTTATCTCCAAATAGTCAATCCCTAGTACACACCAATGCTTTAACCACGGCAGGTTTAAGTGAACTCTATATTGATCCCAATACTCGTCCTCCAACACTAAAGG